ACACACACACACACACACACACACACACACACACACACACACACACACACACACACACACACACACACACACCTCACTGGTACATTTTGTATTCTGATAAATGAACAATAATTGTAGAAAGCAGCAGACAGAACCCATATGGTGATGTCTAAAAGTGACCAAAAATTTTTTTTTACATTTGCTGTTTGGTCTAAAACATCTGCCACAGTTTGAAGTTACAAAATTCTGAATTTGTTTATAATCCACATAAATACAGTTTTGTGACAGTGATTATTTAACTTCCCACAGGTATAAAGAATATGTTGATTGCATTTACATCTTAACTTCCTTTCAAACTGCTTCTTTGACTGAGGGGAGCATAACAAAAATATAACTTTAGGTGCCTGAAGTCAATGTGCAGATGCTGCCAATTATCAGCCCCCCAACCTGGTCCAACCGACAGGCTTGTCACAATAAACAATAAATCAATTAACTGTATGATAAATTAAATTGAGGAAGACAAATTAAAGTGAAAACAATAATTTTAATTTGAATGCTTTTTTTGTTTTCTTCATGTTTCCCTCTTTTTTTTACTTCTTAGTATAGAGAGGAGTGAACTCTGGTGTCAGGTATTTGCCAGTTGCATGGTCCCCTAACCTCTGTAGCATGAAAGCCCGTGAACAGGCATTCAGCCAAAGGAGCGTCTTCAGTTTTCTGACGCTTCATACAGCTGGCAACGCCTTGGGATTGCCGACAGTTGTTTTTTTTTTTTTTACACTATGTAAATTTTAATGTAAACTTCTGTAAACATGGGTTCTTATACCATTATATTAGTTTAAACTGGTCTCCAACAATATTATCGTTTATCGCAATAATTTCTGAGACAACTTATCGTCCAGTAAAATTTGTTATTGTGACAGGCCTACCAACAGATGGCTTTCAACACAAACTATCTTCAACGTAAACAATGTCTATTGCAAAAGTTACGCAGTGCAAGAACAGAAGTGGTCATTTTTCAGCATAAAGTACCAACAGGGTTCCCACACCTTGGTCAACATCAAATTCAAGGACCTTTCAAGGACTTTCCAGTACCAATTTCCTCAAATTAAAGAACCACGAGCAACAGCAATTACCTACTGCTACTGCAGAACGTTACCAATAAACAGGTTTAACATCATGTAAATTCAATGAAAAACTGAACATAGAAGTTGTTGAGTCGGAAACAATGACATCAGTTTACCGTAATCCTGAGTTGTCCACCGCAACAAATGTACAATTTTTTTATTTAATTTCATAATTTATTATTTCAAAAGATGATGAAAATCAGTTGTGGATAGAGAATTTCAATCCCCAAAAAAACATTCAAGGACTTTCAAGGACAAGTGTAATTTTTAGCAGTTTCCACAAACTTTCCAGGGCCTTGAAATAATTTTTTCAAATTCACAAACTTTCAAGGATTTCAAGGATCCATGGGAACCTTGTAACTGTGCAGTCACATAACAAATGGCCAATGTGCAGGTAATAGCCAGGCAGTACTTCTGTATAAAAGGTAAAAGTTTGCTCTTAAATGGCGGCTGCTTCAAGTAGCGGTTAGTTCAACTCAAGTCGGAGAATTCTGCCCTGATTCTCCAAACTGAAATCACTCCGACTACTGTTTAGTGCAAACACCAACTGCTCAGAAGTACTCCACACAATCCCACTCATAAAAACAAATAAATAAATAAATAAAAAGGCTGAACTATTCCTTTGATTAGCACAATTTAACCCGAGCCAGGTAATGGCCTCTCGAGGCTTGGTAAACAGGTCTGACAACAGAACACTTACATGTTTTCATATAAAGTACAGGCACATGGGCCTACACATAAACACAGCACATATGTGAAGAGACACAAACACATTAACCTACACACCCACACTGAACAGACGGGGGTCTCTCCCTTCTCGAGATATGCGACAGGAGAGCCAATTAGCACTCCGAGTGGTCCCGGCACAAGCAGATTGGTGGTGTCACCACAGAGCCAAACAAAACAGAAACCGAGACAAAGTGTAGAAAAAGACAAATCTGCAGGTGGAAAGAGAGAAGTGTTTATTTTTTTAAGCTTGACAAAGAGATGATTTTGGGCGACTGGCAGGAGAGAAACACAGGTGACAAAGACTAAAGACACAATGAAAGACAGGCAATGCGTGCAGGGGGATAGATAAACAGATGGACCCCATGTGGTAGTGGCAAGCTACCGATTTCCACAACCAGCCAGCAAGCCAGTCCATCAGCTGTTCAAACAAACAGACACAGTCAGCGCGCCGTCCGGACGGCAAGTCCAGCCAGCAGCGAGAGTTCATCAGATGTGGGACAAGAAGAGGCGAAAGAATCACATTCGGGAGGGAAAAGAGGAAAACTCAGATGATTGTGGAGGTGACTACAATGAAGTCTGAGAAACATGGCGAGACAAAAAAAACCCGAGAAGCAAAAAAAGGAGGAGAGGTGATCCATAGAAATGGGGATAGAAACATAGTTCTGTTTCCTTCCAACAATCCTACGATGAGTCATCATGAGTGGGCTGCCCGCTCGCCAGGC